AAGACAAAGCTTCCGCTGACTGGTTGGTTGGAAGCAAAGTATGTATGCTTTAGTCACACCGCCAGGCAGTGATATTATGGCTGGACTTTTATGGATGGTCGAGAGTGCAAGATCACCCGAGAAAAAGAACGAAACTCTTGACCGCAGTAATCACAGTGCAGGAAGGGTCCGCGTGGAAAGATGCAGGGGAAATATAACTCGAAGGAGGTGGGTGGAAGTAGAACCAATGGAGTTGAGTGGAGGGAGTTGGGGGGTCCCCTTTGTTTGCAGCCCAAAGGAAGATAGATAGATATTGGGACTCAATCTCAGGTGCTTTGCTTTGCTTTGCTTGCTTGCTTCGGATCCCAGCTACTGAAATGGAGGGGCTGTAGAGTGGGGGGAGGACCAGCGGCAGAAGAAGTAGAGGACTGGGATGCACGGATTACTTATAGTACAGTTCCCAGTAGCTGTGGTGCCGGTGAATCAGCCCCATAGCAAGGTCAATCTTGATCCACCGGGACTTATCAAAAAGTCCTCTGGGGGCCGAGGGATTTCAGATCGTTCGGGTTCAGGATAGCAGCATGTTGTGAACAATGAAACGGGCGAAGCGAGCGCCTGTATCAGGTTTCTGCTCGGGCTTCTCTTGCGCCTGCGATGGGGAGCGGAGAGGATGATCGGAGAGAACTATCCAAGAAGATTGAAAAAGCAGGAATCGGGAAGTGAAAAAGAAGAAGAAAAAAAACTGAACTGAAAGATAAAAATAAAAAAAGAAATAAAAAAAAAAGAATAGGGAAAATAACAACCAAGAAAAAAAAAGGGATCCTCAAGGAAGGGGGAGGGAAGAAGAATATCGTCACCGATCCACGAAGCGCGAGAAACGAGGAAGAAAACAAATGGCACTAAAAGAATAGGAAGGGAAAGCTGGAAACCCCACTGGACGGAAGGGGGGGACAGGAATTGGCAAAAGGAGAAAGAAAGAAAGAAAGAAAGAAAGAAAGAAAGAAAAAGAAATGATGAGCAGAGAGCCTATTGTCTAGTAGCATCTATCCCATCCATCCATCCATCAATCAAGTAGGCAGGCAATCAATCAATCAGTCAGTCAATCAGTCAGTCAATCAGTCAGTCAATCAAACTACTAGCCAGGACTGATGATGGAGACCATTTCATCCTTCCGGGATTGTTCAGGTTTGAATTTACTAATTTCTTTTTTTTTTCTTCCCTTATCTCATTTCCCTGCACTTAAATTCTTCTCCCCAGAGCCTTTGCTAGGTATTTTCTGGCTTATTATTATGACCAGCTGCATGAAAGGATGAGATTTAGATTTGCGCGCAAGAACGATCGAAGCGAGCTGTTCGATTTCCTTCTCGAACCTCGCCTCAGAACTACTGAATAGAATGACGAGTGCTACCCAGAGTCACGTATAGATTATTGTTGGGAGCCCAATCTACTCTCCACGATGAACATCGATCGAGCCCCCTTGAAACTTTCAGCCACCCTTCGCTCCACCAGGAAGCCCAAACCCATGTCAGCGGTACACACTAGATACAGGTGCATACAATGGTCTCGGTAGACGCACTACCGGGGGGGCTGACTACCAGCTGATCATCAGTCATTTCTTCTGTCGACCAATCCGTCGGGACTCTGGGTAGTCCAAGGCGTGCACTGCAGCCTTTCAGGACCATGAGGGCGGCTGACGGAGGCAAGCAGAGTGGATATGATGACGCCCAAGAGGGGTAGCTGATTCCGATCCATCAGATTTTATGACATGGGAACAGGGAGGAACAATAATGGAACCGATTAAAAAAAGGGCCAGGCGCCGTGTGATTCGTGGACTCCCTGGCAGCCCAAAGGGATCGTGACGGGGATAATTCAGACACGAGGCGGGGCTATTTGGGACTTCTGAGGGGGAAATAATAACAAATGATCCAAAAGGGAACGAAAGAAAAAAAAAAGTACTTTGTCCCGTACTAACAATGCCTAGAAATTTCCTCGATCTTGCAGGTGCAGCAGCAGCAGCAGCAGCAGCAGCAGCCATCATGGCACTTTCTCCAAGAATCCGATAAGGTTAATCGCTCGGGTCCAGACACCCAGAGTCGGTAGCAGGCCCAATGAAGACTGTCGCCGGGACTAGTCTAATCACGTCTAATCACTAGAAATGTTTTTAGCTGAGCCCCATTCATCAATCATTCCAAATTGTTGCACTTCTGACTTTTTTCCCGCTGCCCTGAGCCGACTTCCCCGAAGGCCTTAGAGTTAAGCCCTCCCGAAACGCTATTTCGGTGATCGTCCTAGGTCCATGCACCATACCATTCCAGGAACCATCCACCAGGCTCCAATGTCCGTCCGTGACTCCGTGAGGCGGTGGTTGGAGTACCAAAGAGCCAACCAAGGTTGTGGGAAATCTCGATCAAACGGAAGGAGTAGATACCGAAGGAACAAGGCGAGACACGCCGGGCCAAATTTATGAGGAATGAGTGAGGCAAGAGATCCGGGGTCCGATCTCATGAAAATCACTTGGGATGGACCGTCAGTCAGACTTACATAGTATAAGGAAAGGTACGGAGTATAGTGTACTAGAACCACGGGAAGAACCGCTTTCTGGGACGCAAGGATACCGGGGACCTGGGAGGTGGATCGGCTGCTGCCCGGGTTGACCACAGAGGGTCGAAGGATCGAGCTGATGGCCGGAGGCTGATCCCAAATGGACAGAGAGGTGAGGACCATGCGCTCACAGGCAATCTGATCCAACCCAAGATCTTGGATCATTGGGAATTTTCGAGGTGTCAGAGTTGGTTTGTAATGTCTGGAAATATCCATGACGACCTAGATTAGCCGCAATTCTCAAGTTCGACGTGAGGACTGACTGAGACTAACAATCACCAACACAGCGCCGAGTTTAGAAGTCCTAAATTGATGGGGTCATTAATGTATACAGTAGTACTACTGCACTGTACCTGCCCTAACTACTGGGTAGGTTTATGTACCGTACCAAATTGTAAGTTAGTAGTTACTGTAGTAGTCAAGTTATCGTACGGAGTACGGCACTTGTAGTGCTTGGCTAAGCCGCCGAGTCGCACACCTTCCAGCGTGCTGGGAAGCTGAGGTCGTGCACTAAAGAAGCAGCCAATGGAGGCGATGCTTATTGGTAGCCAGGGGGATCGGCATCGCGCCCATCGAGACAATTTGAAGCTAAAGCAGCCTTCTCGGAGGTGCTCGCAGGTGGAGCCCGCTCGGCCCTTTCTTGCTTTTCTTCTTGCTCGTTCTTTCTTGCTTGCTTGCTTGCTTTCTTGTCTTCTTTCTCTCAATCAACTCCTTCGGATTCGCATCGTTTGCACTTCGGGGACTTATCATCCGAAGGACGGTGTCTCGTCAGGGGTGGTCCCCGATGAATTCGATGGGTTCAATGGGTAAGGTACAGGGTACGGGGTGACTATATTCGTAGTAATATGACGTGACGATCACCTAAAGAGAGACGGCTTTTATTAGGGCTAGACAGATAGTACCAAATTCGGGACCGGAAGAAACAGTCCGCGATGACGAAATTCCAAATTGTCGAGATGAGGGAGGGATTGGACGATCCCCGGGTATGCGTATGTGTGAGAGAGGGAGAGGCAGAAGGTTGAGAGAAGAGAAGAGATGGAGAAGTGAGGCGGAGAAAGCCTCCCCCCTCCTTCCTCGTCACGGTCGATTAACAAAAGTGACAGACAGACAAACAGGCCTCGTGCCGGTCCAGACAGCCGGTGCTTGTGCCGATTGTGGATCTGAGCGCCCTGTCGTTCAGCATACTGCTTTCAGAGGAGCACCTCTAGATGTACCAAGTACGTACGTACTGTACTTCCCGAGGACTTCCCGAGGACTTCCAGAGGACTTCCTGAGGACTTGTAAAGAAGGTACAAGGAGGAGATACCTCTGAAGTATCTCTGAAGTACCCCTGGAGTACCTACAGAGTATTCCTAAGAGAACCAGCTGAAGGCAAGCTCCTTCCTTCCCTTTCCAGTCAGCCCCATCTACTCCTCTACTCCATCCTCTCCCTTCTCTTCTCCTACACCAGTAGATCGTGATTCTCTCTTCCCATCTCCACCTCATTTAACCCCATTGATTTGCACTGCGCCGTGTTCATACTCCCTACCCTTTCCTACCTGTCAATTTTCTCTCTTCCACCATCTCCAATTGGTCTGATGAGAGCCTTGGCAGGCTCTTCAGCCACACCAGGATGACCACTCTGTCTCTCATCCAGCGTCCAATAGTTGCCATTCCGAGCCTTGAGATGACAGTGGTCAGGGCGACGTGGGTGTCAGAGCAGGCAAGAATGTTCTGATTTGGCTGCCGAGGCCTTTACCTGCAGCAGGTGGGCGGGGATTCTCAATGGAGCCGATGACTGATGACGGTTCACGGTTCGCATCAGATGTGTTGTCTCCAGATTTTGTCTCATTGTCTTTGGCCCCTAGGAGTCCCGTGGACGCATCCCATGAATCAAGTAGGTGGGGTGAGTATCGCGTTGTTCGGCGAACGCAGGTCGGTATGATGCTTGAGCTATCGGAGAGGAACCATCCACCGCATCCACGAACCTGTTCTTTTCAAAAGTTACCGACTGATCGTCGACTGATCTATTTCTATTCGGTAACGGATACTGCACCGTCCGTTCGAGTTCATGGTGCCACAGAACCCTAGCTGGCGTCAGGCCGAATGCGATGGTCGAAACGCAATAAATACACTTGCGAAGCACGATGAGAGACATGGCCGTTTTGCAACTTGCTGGTTGTTTCAGAACAATTTACTGGCTCACGTCCTAGACCACAGTATGCTTAATTGTGAATCGGTTGCTTCTTCAGCTAAGGATTTGACTTCTCCGAACTCTGTGTCTGGCGATCTCAGCCTACGGCCGAATGCAATCTTTCTGTTAGGGGATTTGATTCGATTTGGCGCAGAGTGGGACAAACACTTGATCGCCGGCAGTGATCTTAGTAAATGGCGCATGTCTGCCTGATCCAATCCCAAGCTCGTCTTTCTGCTCCTGTAACACCGAGGTTTGTACCAAAATTCGGTTTATTGCTTTTACGCCAATAGTTACATGCCGGCCGCCGAAGACAAGCCGTGTCGTGTCCTGAAACGACTTCCGTGACACCTGGTGGGTATGTTTGCAATACAGGATATACTTTCGTTGAGAAAAAATCACAAGGCCAAATCGAATAATACAGCAAGGAAGTAGAAGTACAAAGAAAAGATCCAGGCCCCCCACGCGGGAGGAGACCGATCTCGACCACGCTTTCATCTCTTGACCCAGGTGGGCATCTTGCGCGCCTTGACGTGACCGGGCTTCTTTCTCTCCACACGACGGGCGTCGACCGTGATGACACCGGCTGCAAGATCAATTGGTCAGTAAAGAATGGTTGTGGTGGGCGGCAGGGATACGTACCCTTGCGGAGCACAGGCTTCAGAGCGGGCTCGTGAACCAGCAGCGCTCGTGCAACAGCCAGCGTGATGGCTTCTGCCTGCCCAGTAGTTCCTCCGCCCTGGACTTGAGCCCACACATTATACTTGTCTAGTCGCGACGTACTTCGGAGGGCCCAGGTGGCACTCTCGCGATCATGTACCCGAGGGAAGGCCTCGACCAATGTCTTTCCATTCACTCTCACCTCGCCATCACCCTCAACCAGAAAAGCCACTGCCGAGGAAGACTTGCGCTTGCCCCGGCCGCGAGCACGACCCATCTCATCCACCCTAGCCGGCGCAGGCTTGTTCGCATACGGATTACCCGGACGAACAAACTGCTTTATCGTCTCCCTAACATCTTTCGGCATGAGCTTGGGATCGATTCGATTCAGACGCTGCAGGATTTTGATCAGGCCCTTGTACTTCTTGGTCGGCACTTGCTCCCCGACAAAATCACGAAGCTGCGGTAGTTTGAGCCACGCCATCCGAGGCGCCTGGTTGGTCTCCACGGTTGGCAGATCGGCGTTTGCGGCGAGAATGTCTTCCAGAACCAACAAGTGGTCGATGAACTTGGGGTTGGCGGAGAAGTAGGACGGAGACGCGGGCACAAGCCGAGCAGGTCTGAAGCGGGGATCGTTGAAGTCAATAGGAGGAGCGGCCGTGGGGGGTATAAGAAATTGTTCAGTCGCATATGTTCGCTTGCCACTGAGGTTCTTGGGGAGTCGGGTCGTCGTCGAGGTCGACCATATGGGCGATCTGGAGATCACGAACTGCTGGAGAACAGGCCGGAGAGGAGCTGCTTGACGGATGGAGTGCATGGCCTGCACGAGACCATTGGGGTTCTGCCAGGCCATTATGCGGGGGGCGAGAACGGGTGACGGAGGCCTGGAGGAAGAAGAGGTGTTGAACGCCTGTCGGGAGATAGATTCTTGGAGAGCGAGCGACACACGGAGCGGGCGAAAACAATCGCTTTTGGCGGTGTTGGCGTTGGTGTTGGGGCCATTATTTCCTGAGGTTTTTCCAGATTGGAGGTCACGTGGACGCAGGAACCATTCCTCCGGTCCCGATGCTCTTTGATTCGCACAAATTTCACCATCCATTTTCTTCTTCCCCTCATTCTTTTTTTCCTCCTCTTCCTCCCCTCCCTCTCCTTTTCTCTTTCTCATCCCACACATCCTTCACAATGGCCTTCGGAAAGCTCTACGGTTCTCTTGTATGCTCCCTCCAGCATCTTTCCTTTCCACACCGTTTCAGGCAGGCGCAACTAGCTAACACGATGATGAATAGGAGAACGCTCGCACCATCGCCGTCCTCGTTGCCGCTAAGGCTAACGACGTCGAGCTGGAGCTTGTCAAGACCGAGCCTAACTCTGCTGCTGCTTTCAACCAGTCCGAGGAGTACCGCCGCATCCAGCCCCTCGGCAAGATCCCCGCTTTCGAGGGTGCCAACGGCTACACTCTTTCCGAGGTCATTGCCATTGCTGTCTATGGTACGTTTTGACGACCTTTTTTTTTTTTTTTTTTTTTTTTTTTTTTTTTTGTTTCTATGTGCACGCTTTTCACCCCCTTTTTCGATATGATGAGATTATCTATTAGTTATCCCTGTCAGAACGGTAAAAAAACAAACTGTGTTGATAACGTTTTAACTCTGATCATTTGTTATCCCTCTTTGGGCTGAATATCTATTTGTCATCTTACTTTTCTTGAAGCGTTTCATGCTAACTTGCTTTAAGTGACTTCCCAGAACGAGAAGACCACCCTCTTGGGTAAGACCAAGCAGGACTATGCTTCCATCCTCCGTTGGTTGTCCTTCGCCAACGCTGAGCTTATGCCCCGTTTCGCTGGCTGGTTCCGCCCCCTTCTCGGCCTCGACCCCTACAACAAGAAGAACGTCGAGGATGCTTCCAAGCTCGCTCTGAAGAACGCTGGCGTTCTCAACTCTTACCTCACTGCCAACACCTACCTGGTTGGTGAGCGCATCTCCCTGGCCGATTTCTTCGTCGCCGCTCTCTGCACCCGTCTCTTCTCCACCGTCTTGGACAAGAAGTTCCGTGACGAGCACGTTCCCTTCGTCCGTTGGTACAACACCATCATCAGCCAGCCCGCCTTCAAGGCTGTTGTTGAGAATCCTGTCTTCGTTGAGGAGGCCATCAAGTACACTCCCCCCAAGAAGGAGGAGAAGCCCAAGGCTGCTCCTGCCCCCGCTGCCGCTGCTCCCGCTGAGGAGAAGCCCGCTGAGGAGAAGAAGGCCAAGCACCCTCTCGAGGCTCTTGGTCGCCCCGAGTTCGTCCTTGACGAGCTGAAGCGCACCTACTCCAACGAGGACACCCGTCCCGTTGCTCTGCCCTGGTTCTGGGCTAACTACAAGCCCGAGGAGTTCTCTCTGTGGTCCGTCAACTACAAGTACGACAACGAGCTCAAGCTTACCTTCATGGCCAACAACTTGATTGGTGGTTTCCACAACCGTCTTGAGGCTTCCCGCAAGTACCTCTTCGGTTCCCAGCAGGTCTACGGTGCTAACTACGACTGCGTCATCCGCGGTGTCTTCCTTGTCCGTGGCCAGGACTTCAAGCCCGCTTTCGAGGTCGCCCCCGACTGGGAGAGCTACGACTTCGTCAAGCTCGACCACACCAACGAGGCTGACCGCAAGCTCGTTGATGACATGTGGGCCTGGGATGTCCCCGTCGTCATCAACGGCAAGGAGTACCCCTGCGTTGACGGCCACGTCTTCAAATAAGCTAGTGCACCCACTTCGGGTTGTCGTAGCTGTGCCCTAGTGCCGACTCATTGATGATGATGATATCCCCTTTTCCTTTATTCTCTTGGCGATGAGTGAGCCTTGTAGTTGAGCACAAAACATAATATTCCCATGCTCCATCCTCCTTCGCATCCGCTCAAGGCATCCGGTCGAAAGTGTGAGGCTCGGACATCAAGTCTGCCGTCCCTCTGTGACCCACTTTCTCCCCACGCCCTAAACTTTCCAACTGTTCCTCCGACATTCTCCCCGATGGTCTTGGTTGTGTTTCAATCTTCACTCACTTCATAAAAGCTTTTTTTACCCACTTGTTTTATGCGTCATGTCATGCTTATGATCTTCACATGAATGATAGCAGTACAGTAGTCTGATAAGACTCAAAACAATGAACTTCAGCTCTGTCGTTCTTTTGCATGTTCTTCTCCCATTGCTGTTTCTCCTATGAGCAGTTCACCAGTTGGCGCACCAGTCGCGCCTGGAAGGGGCATACTCTTCTATCGACCAGCGCTTACGGCCGCATCTGACTGACTCTTGTTCTTTCGCCGCCGTCAGAGGAGTGTACTAAAAGAAATCGTAGAAGGTCTATAAACAGGAAACGTAACCACAGTAATGCTCGGTAAATACGTACTCTACCCGAGGAGGTGGTCGAATATATAGGTACAAGACTCGCTAATCCGGAAGAAAGTCCACTCAGCATGCATCTGCAAACCAGGCAGATGAGATGAAGATCAATTGAGTTCCCATGCACTTCTCTATGTAGTTATCAGGCAAAATTTACATCAAACAGGTGTAACAAAGTTCGCAGACAAATGACACACACACATACACTCCAGGACACCGCGCTATATCTTTTCTCAGATACACATACAGAGATGACAGGACAAGAGCCGAAACGGCCATTATGTACCATCTGGTCTTGATGAAATGCTGAGCCGTACAAACAACACTCGCCCTCCCCCCTTCTGAGGACGGCTATTAATCGTGACGATCGAGCGATGCCTCCAGTTTATCGAGGAGATCGTTTTGAGTATCGGACCGGACGGATGGATCCGGGGAGAGGGAGTGATGCTCCGAATCGAGGGATGTGGCGGGGGACGGGGAGCGGACTGGAGCTGGGGCTACTGGGGCTTGGGCCGGGGCCGGGGCCGGGGCTGGGGCTGGGGTTGTGAAGGAAGTCGAGATGGCCGCCGCAGCAGCTCGGGCGGCTTTCTTCTCCTGCTTGCGGGCTCTGCGACGCTCGACGCGGGTCGCCCCGGGTGCCAGGGGTATGGGAGTCTGCGGCTGGGGGCCTCGCGGGAGGGTGTCCAAGATATCGAGGATGCACGTCTTCCCGGTCTCCTCCAGGGTCTTGCTCCAGAGATGCAGCGTCTGGCTGACATCGTCATACTTGGACAATTCCTCCAGCAGCTCTAGCACTCTGGTGAGGGTTTGATTGTCGCCCGGACCCCGGTCGCCCGTGAATTCGGGTATTTCCAGGATGTTGTACGGCTCCGAGATGGCTTTGAGCTTGCTGTCGTCGATGAGGATGGTGTTCGTCTGATCCCACACCTGTGTCTCCGTCGGTTGCCATTTCTTCCCGCGGAAACTGGGATACGACGCCTGGATCGACGGATCGCGCCAGACCGTATCCAAAGTCTTGTAGACCTGGGTTTTGGATCGGTACTGCGAGCCCGTGAGCGGGAACTTGTCGCGGCCCCATTCGGCGACGAGCTCTTTCCGGGTGGTGCCCGGGAAGATTCTGTTGCAGAGGTTTTGGACCGTGAAGGGTTGCGAGCTCGACCAGACCATGACCTTGTACTTTGCTAGGAGACACCGGCGGAAACTCTTCAAGCCGGCGCGTTCAACGAAAGAGGGTGGAAACATGCGATGTTTGCGGTGGACAAGTGTGCCGTTCAGGTCAAGGATGACGAGGAGGGGTTTCGAAGAACCGTTTCGCTTCGGTGGAAGAGATGATTGCTGGAGATATTCTGCCGTGGGAGATGGAGGTTCTAGTGGCTCGCAAGAAGGGGATCGACGTTTATTCGGCTGCTGCGGCTGCTGCGGCTGCTCCTGGCTAGGGGCTGATTCCGGGGTGAAAGGTGTACGAAAGGCGAAAGGGTCGAGCATTGACATCGCTAACAATGGGTTCGGCATTCCCATGTTCATCAAAGGGGGGGGTGGCATAGGTAGTAGCTGGCTCGTAAACTTTGTGAAATCATTCCACGATTCCGGGATCCCAAATGAAGGGTATGAGGAAGGATTGAACATGGGTGTAAACTGTTGCTGCGGCTGAAAAGACATTTTTTGTGGCAAGAGTGGTCGTTGATCCGGCATATTTTGTGTGAAGGAATTCTGTGGGTTCGATACATTCGGCATCAGAAACGGCGGCGGAGGGATTGCACTGCCATTTGCATTCATGACACCTGGTGGAGGTGGAAAAGCGAAAGGCGGGTTCGTGCTATTGACATTGCCCATGGAACCGGCATGGCTTGTCGCAACCTGTCCTTGAGGTGACTGCAATGGCGCAGCCCCATGAGGTGGCGCGATCGCTCCATGGCGTTGCTTTGGTCGTCTATCGGCTGGTCTATTGTTTCTTCGTGGGCCGTTTCTTCGTGGTCGATCTTGCGATGTGTTGCCTGGTGTTTGCGTGCCAGGTTGGTCTGCATGTGTAGTCTTCGAGCTCCAACGACCACGATAAGGTCTCCAGGGAGCCGGGTTGTTGGGATTGCCATGATTGCCATTATTGTTGGACTTGTTAGGACCACCACGACCAGTCCCGTTAGAGCCGCGCTCGAAGCCACCTTCAGTCCCCATTTCAGAGCGCAATGTGCTATCACGAGCCTGATACAATAAATACGAACGATGGTAAGATCTCGGGTGAGATGATAGCCGGATTCGAGGTCTGAGAATGAGATTGGGTTGCAAAATCTGTACGACGTCGTCAGCGAGAGAAGTGAAACGATAATGTCTGTCAGGCCATGCATACACAGACGGCCCCGCTTCGACACATTCGATCGAGCTTGACGTATTCAGAGAGAGCTGGCCTTGGAGCTAGCATGGGAATGTTTGTAAATGACTTTCATGGGCACAGTAGCGACTGCAATTGAAGCAAATATGGCCAAGGAGAGCGAGCGAGCGAGCGAGGTGCAGAGTGGCCAGCGATGGGCGGAGGAGCGATCAATCGCGATGCGGACGGACCAGGGGAAAAATCGCCATCAATTTCCCCCCCCATTCACACACCCAATCAACGACGAGCCGCCTTAGCGACCGCCCCCGGATTCCAGCAGAATTGGGACCATTTTTTTTTCCCTGCTCCGCACCGCATCTCACCGCCATACGGCCCAACTTGGATTTTCTTACTTAGGTATCACCAATACTCATTTCTTCATTCATCGCACAGACCAAAATGGCCATATCAGATCTTCTCAATCGCCGGGTGCGGGCGCTCCCCGAGGAAGACGAAGGGGTTTACTCGGATGGTTCCGGTTCCGAGGAGGCTAGTGACCTTGCGCCATCGGACCACTCGGACTCCGATAATGCCAGCGACGGTTCTCTCGATGAGGACGATGTCGACAATGATGATCTGGTTGGTATTCTCAACGCCGTAGCATGAAAGCCCAATAGAGAGCTGACTCATGACACAGTCAGACGAAGTTTCCGATGCTGCAGAGGATGACGGTTCAGACGATAGCGAGAGCGACGATGATGCACCCGAGGATGACGTCCAGGCCTCTATTGGTAACATTTCATTTGGCGCGCTAGCCAAAGCGCAAGCGTCGCTAGGTCCGAAAGCGAGACGTGCCGCAAAGGCCGCCCGGAGTACAGATGAAGCCAACGCAGCTCCGTCGCCCCTCGACGATATTCGAGCTCGAATCCGCGAAGCCCGGGAGCAGAAACGGCAAGCGTTACCGAAGTCGAAAGATTCGGAGAAGCCTTCTCGCTCTTCCAAGCACGCGCCTATGGTGCAGTCTTCCAAGTACGCCGTTTCTCGCAAGCGCACGGTCGTCGAGCCCCCGAGCATACCCAAATCCCGAGATCCACGCTTTGACCCGACGGTGACCAGCCAGGGTGGTCGGGGCAATACTCAGGGTGTCAAGGACGCCTATGCCTTCCTCGACGAATACCGTGCAGATGAGCTCAAGGAGCTGAAGGCACAGTACGCCAAGATGAAGAATCCTGCACAGAAGGAAGCCTTGAAGCGAGAGATTCGATCAACCCAGGATCGACTCCGCGCAATGGAGAACAGAAAGCGAGAGAGGGATATCTTGGCCGACCACAAGAAGAAGGAGAAGCAGCTCATCCGCGAAGGAAAGAAGAGCACCCCGTACTATATGAAGAAGTCGGAGCTCAAGAAGCAGGTCCTGCTTCAGAAGTACGAGAATATGAACTCCAAAGACCGCACAAAGGCACTTGAACGGAGACGGAAGAAGACCGCAGCGAAAGAAAGGAAAGAAATGCCTATGGAGCGTCGAGCTCTGGCCGACGACGATGCACCCAGAGACCACGGAGGGGGTTTCAAGCGTCGCCGGCTTGCTTAATGTGAATTGCGTCCTTTGCTATCGCTCATAGAGGATCTCATCTGTGTACATAATTATGCCGACCACATACCAGTATACCCCACGTGGTATTACCTATCATTATCCAGAATTACCGTGTTTTGCCGGCTTCGATGATTTCAGCCCAGCATAGCAACCAAAGTATTATCGTGAGTACCGCGGTAAGAATAAGAATGAGAGAAGAGTGAAATGTCCAATAAGACTTGGTGAAGATGAAAACGAACAGAACATTGGTATCGCAAATATGAACATCGAGTGGAAGAAAGAGCAATCATAGACACAACACGGATCACCAAAAGATGAAGTCCCTAACGATATAGACATGGTTCTGAGACCAACACAACCTGCCAATAAACGCCTCATAGACAGTGAATCCCATAAGCTTAGATGTAGATGATGAAATGAGTGCATGCAGAACGGAATCATGAATGAGATAGGGCAGAAAGTTTGACAATCATGACAACTTGAAATGCTGTCTGCGGTGTGGTATAGGATGCAGAGAAGGAGATAACTCAAGATGTTGGAAGTAATCCAGTTCTCCTTCCGGTCTAGGAGCAACTGATCATGCATGTTCATAGAAATGGTCGTAGTATGCATATTCATCATGCCGAGAACGCAGAGTCCTCGAAACATGTTCCCACATGTGACTTAGGACAGATCCCCCACCTGGGTGTAAGGCTTCCGCCGGAGGTCTAGCCGAACTGCCTGGCCAACAAGCACGTGCTATGTTATGTGGCTCATGTAGGACGGTGGCCCTGGCGACTGGGCGAAGCCACCCTTCAGGTGACAGGATGCAGAGACGACGCACTAGTCTTTTAAGAATGGAATAAATCCCATGCTCGGGCGCAAAGACTGAGAAACTCTTCCTTCTTCTTTCTCTGGGTTTCGGGCGAGTCTCTACCGGCACCAAATGGACCACGACTGGTACTTGCACCAGAAGCCAGAGCTGGATTCGGGCGATAGAGTTGCTCGGGACCATGGCCGAGTGGAGGGCTGCCATGCTCATGCTCGTACTCATTTCGAGAGCGGCGACGCGCAGATCGTTCCGAATGATACAGAGCTTGCTGCGGTTGCACATTTGTCGCCGGCGTAATCTCCGGGTGAGGTGCGCCAGATTTGGGGGGACCATTAGCAATCCGCGGAGACGGTGGGGTTGGCGGTTGGTGGCCGCCGTAGTGCACAATGCGAGGCAGAAGCTCTTCCCGGCCACCCGACATCTCCTGGACAGCTTCTTCGGCAGAGCGATACTCTCTTGGCCGCTTGGGAATTTGAGCGGATTCACGGGACATCCTGGGAGAGGGGATGGGCGGTAAATTATTAGACTGGGATGAGCTGGCACCGGATGCGCCGGGGTAGAAAGGTCCCCGGTTGATTTCCCTTTCGCGACCGCCTAGAGCGTCCGATCCAAACACGTCCGAGAGTGGTGGAAGGCGATTGTTCGTTTGGGTGGCAGGAACATGGTGAATATGAGACGTGGACCCCAGAGTAGGACTTTGGTTAACGATGTGGCGGGTTAATGGCTGTGGCTCATGGCGGCCTGTAAATGTCTGGTTCAGTGGTGCGGATTGGATTACACGCTCATTTGCGAATTGAGCAGCCGATGGAGGTACGATGGACAACCCCGGTGGTCTCCGCTTCGAGGCCGCTGTCTTGGGCAAACCAAACGAGTCCGATGGTTTGATTCCCTCTGGCCCATCATCCTTGGCCGATTTCTGTAGACGCGATTCGATGATGGATCTCTGCTGATCACGGACTGACAAACTCCGTTGAAGTTGCTCCCTCATGACTGGGTCGTGGGTTTGGAAGCCCGGCGACAAGCACGCGATTCCGACGTTCTGCATATTGAGGCCATCTCGGGCAGTCATCGGACCGCCGGGAGCCCGGGCAGACAAACCTCCCGAGTTGGGGAGACTAGTGGAGAGATCCAATCGTCGGGGACGCGGTCGAGTATGGGACTGCATTGCGGGCGACGAGGGTGGCTCCTTCTTAACTATGACTTTCGAAGAGCTTATTCCGTTTTGCGACCTAGCTGATTATTAGCACACTCGGCGACATACGCACTTGACTTCGAATACTCACGATGGGGAGGTCGGCTTCCTTCCGGCGGGTGAGCTTTGAGTCAACGAGCCATCCCGTGACGGTCCAGACAACCGAGGCGGCGTAGTGCTGTTCTGATTATTTGAAGTCGCAGGTGCCAGGGTTGGGCAATTCTTCGGACTCAAGTCACGGGTCATGCGCGGCGAGGTGAGCGGAGCAGCCTGGACTGGCGCAACCGCGGTGGACATACTGATGAAGAAAAGAGACTGGGCGAAATGAGATGCAGAAGGTCGAAGCAAGTGCGACTCCTTGGCAAAGCTGTCGACAGCAGAAATAGCTTTCACGCCGATCTAATCTTGAACTGAACAGATGCCACTGTATATATACGGTTTGAAGCCTGTGCCACCCTAGGTCTCACAGCTTAACTGGCCGGAGAATCAAATAATTTTTATGATAGGTGTGGTTGTGTGGTATCAAAATTAAGGAACGATGTTGAGCAAAGGAGAGCGCGCGGTCAGCGAGCTCGGGGAGCGTCGGCGGCTAGTCGGGTGGACGACTCGTAGGGTGATGGAAAGCGTGCGTGGCGTGGTGTAGCGTAGCGTAGGTGGAGGGACGAGGAGGTACTTTGGTCGGTAAATAAGCTCCGGAGGAAGAGGAAAGAGAAGAACGGACGGGTCCAGCCCAAACAAGGAACGACCAGCACAGAGGGGGGAGGACGAAGAGGGAGAATGTAGTAGAGATGAAGGGGAGGAGGAGGTAGGGAAGAGGAAAAGAGACGAAAGCCGGCGGCGGCCAATGTGGCACCTTGACCCAAATTGCGCTCAAACAGAAGGATGAGTGAGGGTCGTAAGGTAGTAGGGTAGGTAGGTAGGTAGGTAGGTAGATAGAATAGGCAAGTAGGTAGATAGTGGTAGGTGGTGGTAAGAGAGAAGTAGGAGAAAGGATGGATGGATGGATTGGAGTGGTCAAAGAGTTATTGGGAGAGGCGGTTAACTCAAGCTGGCTGGGCTGGCGGCAGGCAGTGTGACAACGGTTAGAGGTCGGTCAGAGAATCCCATCCGGTCTGGCCCTAATGCGAGAACTGTTGGCTCAAATCGATGGAGATGGATATGATATCGGTGAATCTGGCCCGCAAAAGACAGAACAAAGCAAGTCAACCAGATCTAACTGTCTGCAACAAAGGATTGGGTCAAATGGGAAGAAAAGGGAAAGAAGACGAAGAGAGGAAGAGGAGGAAGAGGAAGGAAGAAGAAGAATTCAAAAATGAAAGACAACAGAAAGCAGGCCGAGAAATTATTGTATGTAGTTATGGAGTGGCACTAATTAATAAGGATGTATGTTTGACTTTTGGGGGGTGGAGGGAGAGGAGAGGGAGGGGGGGGGAGGAAGAGGAGTGAGTGAGTGGAGGGGAGAAAAGAAAACAGGGCCGAGTCAATCTCGATGAGACGGTGGCATAAAGAACTGGAAACTACAAAGGTACATAGTACAATTCACTGCAGCTGGATCCAATCTAAAGAAGAAATCTCAATTAAATTGAACATAACTTCCTAGATGAATCTGACGAAGGGTCAAAAAAGGGAAAAAAAAATAAAAAAAAAAAAAAAGTCAAAGATAGGCTAGAGTATAAAGGGAATAATCTCAATCATCATCAGTATCATCAAACGAGGGAGTGGGAATTGGGCTGAAATTGGAGCGACGAGGCACTCAAATGGATGTGGGGGAAGAAGTAGGATCCGATTCAGGTGTGGTTTGAAGATCGGTTGCATACATGTACTCATTACTGCTCATACAACAGACACTAGAAGCTCTCCAGCATGAATGAGCATTATCGGGTCCTACACTATGTAACAATCTACCTCTACCTATCTCATTTCTATGAACAGCAAAGAGAGAAGGGGGGAGAAGCAGAGGAAGGAGGAGAAACAAAACACAGAAAAAAAAAAAAAAAAAAAAAAAAAAAAAAAAAAAAAAAAAAAAAACCGGCTGGGAGGCATCCAGAATGGTAAGCAGTGAAGGCAAGTAGCCATTGATGAACGGGGATAATTCCTAATAATCCCTCCTGGATGCTCAGACCAAGTGGGGAGGATTTCATCTGATTGGCACCAGCTGAGACATGGTTTGTTTCCGCCCAGGGCTTGTCGCCGAAGATGTGACACACTTGTGACAATTGGCAGCAATCACTCCCCTCGGGACCTTTTACTGCTCTGGAATCTTGGTACTTATAAGGTAGTTGGGTCAGTAAACAGGTAGTTGGAGACAGTTCTATACTGTAGTAGATACTGTAGTCGACACTGAGACACTGACTGAGAAGATGGAGAAATGTACTCCGTAGAATCTCATGATTAAATGATGGCCAGGTACAGCACATACAGCATAGCTAGGTGACTATCAGCGAAACGCTGACTAACCCCACGGACTAACTGCCTTAGCAGTGGTCTAACCGACCAACCAACCAACCAACCCAGTGTGACCCCCTCCCATCCGGCTTCCGACCTGAACGAACAAGAGAACTGCTGATAAGCTGGGAACTACAATAAAGAACAGCTGAGACTGCTGCTTATGCTACAGAGCATTGATCATTCCTGGGCTAACAAGTATCATACACAGTCACAAAGGTACAGTACGATCTGAGTTCTCTTCTTTGTCCTGAGTCCTGACTATACCGCACAAAACATATCTGAAAGTCTGGAAACAGTCAAGGGAACGAGCATCCGAGCTTCATCACGGCCACGAACCATGACCCAGTTGGAATTTCCTCCCTCCCACCTCCGTCCTCCACCCTCTCCACCCCCTGGGTGGCAAACCTAGGCCACCTGCGACGCCAGCCTCCCTCACCATCACCAAAACCTACTGGCGCCAAACTGGTGGAAACAATAGTGAGTTAGTGTCCCCTGGCCCTGGCCCCAACCGAACCCACTTTCTGTCAGATGGATGGGTCATGGCCCCCCTCAGCCTCCTCTCCTCTGATTTTCAAATTTGGATGGTGGCAGCAGCAGCAGCAATAATGGGGTTCCATTCAACCCAGGAGATTTATCCGAACTTGACATCTCACATTTCCCCACGTTCGCTTCCTCTTGACCCTACGAAACTGCACAAACCATAAGCCAGAAACAGGTGGCCACGGGTCTCTCATGAACGCCAGCCCTTTTTTTTTTTTTTTTTCCCACGGTGCATCGATCGATCATCCCGCGATCGGCTCTTGTCCTTGTCATAACCCGAAGCGGGTCAAAGTGTCAATCGACCACAACTGGATGACCATCTGGACAAGACACAAATAATACTCGAGTACGTAGGAGGATGCGTGTCATTGCGTAGAAAAAGAGCCTGATCCAGACTTTATGTATGCGTTGCTTTACGTATTGTCTAGACATATCCACCCATGTCTTTGGCCGATAGCAGCTGCGCTCATGAATTCAGAACAGGGAGGGTGAGATACTGACTCGGGACTGTTGCATGCAGGGGATCATCTAATCTATGAGAGGATTAAGCCCTTGTTGCCCCCAACCGCAACAACCATTGTCTAGAACGAGCCTGTCACCCTCCCGGGTCGACCGGCGATCTCGCACGAGTCTGTTATATTCCGCTCCGAGTGCAATATGTATAGCTCGTGGACGCTGTTCGGAGATTCTCACCAAGCATATAACCCGATTTGGAAACGGGTCAAGACACGGGCCAGCTTCAAGCCTGTCACTGCGATTAGCTCGCTTCCTGCGATGGAAATCTGCGGTACTGTCTCGTTCAGATAGCGCAGGTCTAAGGAACGCGGCAATCAAAATTGTAATCAATTGATTGAGTTATTGGAGTGGTTCAGTGTGTCGAGACGAGATATGATCTTCTCTTTAGGATCTAGTGCGAAGCGAAATTAGTACAGGATCCAAAGTGAGTCCAGAGCCAGACAAATCATTGATCTAGTACTGTGCTCCGAAATTGTTCTTGATTAGCAATGATTCTTGTTTTACCATGCTACTAATTACGAAGAAATCAATGGGTCGACTCCGGTGGTGGAAGAAGGTTTCCTGCCTACTGGTGGGATCATGCACCAATGCTAGACATGCAGCGAACTATAAGAACGACTGCAATGGATCAATCAACCCCTGTTACCGTTGCAATTGGGCTCGGGGGGACAAACACCACTAAGTGACTCCCGGGACGATTTCGGGGGTTGTTGTACGGAGTACGGAAAAGAACGAACAAGATACATAGAATGGACCCTTTTCCCCCTAGTAGATGCTGAGTCGAAATAGAGGATGAGTATTTGCATGGAACCGAGCCAACCCCTCCTCTTGTTCCCCTCAACGTATCTGATGATGCTACGGAATCATTGTTTTGTTTTTGTTTGTTTTTTTTTATTCCGGCAATGGTGCAACTGATGTTGCCTGAAACTATCCGTCGGAGCGTATCAATTCCATCTCACGGGAAATAGTGTAGCACATATTGATTATTGCTCCACCCCTCATTTCCGCGATGCACGGAGAAGGAGAGAGGAGCGAAATGATGATGGGGCCACTTTCTCACAACTGCCGGGACAGATTGGTCATCCGTACCTAATAGTAAGTACTGTGTATGAACACTAGTAGTCCGTTGGAATTGCGATGAATGTCGTTTACTAACTCCGAGTATGATAGCCAATAATGGAGTGACATCAAGCGACTGTACCGGTACATTATTATCAAGTATCAAGGGCCATCAACGTTCAGCATCATCCAAAGCCTGGATGAACTCGATGGAGTAAACTGTACCTGCGGATCACACAAATTAGTACTGTATGGGGCGGGTCCCACGTGTCTTGTCCACCTTGCAAATCAGGTCGAGAAACCACTTCCGGTAAGGAGTATGGGTCGAGTCGCATCGATAGTAGCTTTGGCGTGCCGTGGGACAGCCTCGTCTTCGGAATGATGCTTGTTTCATTTTGCTTGGAGAATGAGGGGCCGATTGAAGTTTGAATACAGTCGTCGGCTCGCTCATGAGAGACACACTGCGTGTGGCCAACCAAATTTACTCTCCGTCGGCTGCTGGCTCGTTTAACCGTCAGAAGTCCATTATCCAGGTCGATCTCGGCACCAACATTCAAAATCTACTACGGAGTACTGTTCCAATTTCATATACTGTCGAGAAGCGATACTTTTCTCTTCGCTGAAGCACGGGTACAGTACAGGTTCTAAACATGCTCGAGAACTGAAACCGTCGCCAAGCAATACCAAAACCGGTTATGCTGCATTGATGCCGTGCTTTTGGGCAAGTGTGCTTCAATTCCATGCATAATACGATGGACCCCTTTCTTTACCTACCAATTGCTACTTGAGCACGGCAACAAATAGAGCTTCAATATCAAATCACCTGGTCTTTCCATTCTTGCACGGCCGTTTGATGTTATCAACACGAGACTTTCCGTTCGCATTTGCGCCGCGCAAATTCTAGTCCCAACGTCGCCCGTCTGCACGGTCCTGTTGCTAATATTAATCCTCCCATGTGGACAGTGGGCAGGGTGGTCTGAGTCAAGCGGTATGGTTCCTGGCCGATCCCAATAAGAAGCTGTCAAGAATAGTATCATTCAAATTTGAACGGTCAGGATCATATCATTGGCCAACTAGACTTGCTCTGTATTATAGCAATTGTTTACTTGGCAAGGGCGTCCTGACTGTCTTCACCCGTCACTTCCAGGCTCGAAGTCACTGTGGAAGTTGATGTGCTATGCAACAGATAGCTCCAGCTCGCTGCTATATTGAAGAGCCTTGTAAACCGTTCAATGTGGATAGTATGCTACAGCATGGTCCTTCTCAAAATGTGCAATCACCAGACAAGAGCTGCATGATCTAGGAGTAATGACTTATCTTATCTTTACAAAGGCATGCTACTCAGAGCAGGAATAGTTATGGAACTCATCCTACTCAGGCGATGATTCATATACATACTCCTCAATTCACATCTCCTGCAATGACACGATAATCAAGCGCGGCAGGGAAAGTCTAGTCTCTGAGCTGATGCCCCATCATCCAAATCAATAGCAATACAACAGTCATTGATAGTTGGCGAAGCTCCATCACCATTACAAGCACCCTATACCGTTTTCATAGAACATAGATTCCTTCAATACAAGAGCATAGCTCTCTCATCCGAATCGCGAATAAGCTTTACAAACACAGAAGGCGGTGATGCAACATTCCTCCCATCCCAAGGCGGTCAACCATCGATAAAACCGATTTTTTGCATTTTTCTCTCCGCCGCGCCGATAGCCATCGCAATAGCAAATCGTCCTAGCAAACTCTTGATTCCTTGTGACCGTTGGTCCTGCCTGCTTCTTCTTGCTACTAGGGCTTTCTTCGTGAGAGTTCTTGACATCCGGTGCAACCTCCCACTCCCCACACGCACAACCCACTTTCCATACCCCGCTTCACCTCTACCCAGAAAGAGAGAGAGAGAGAGGTTTGTCTATCAACTCAGCCCTTCAAAAGCAGCGCAATCCAGAACACCCTCCCATTCCTGTCGACGATTCAATATCTAACAATCCCTCCAGTAATACCTCCTCAGCTTCACCCAAACTCCACCAGTCACATCCCCATCCCACCTCGAAATCCAAAATGCCCGGCTCCCTCGACCAAGAAAACGACCAGTCCATGATGGACGCCGCCCCGGAGCAGCAGCACGAGCAGGACGACGTCCTCGAGTTGGAAGATAAGCGCATAGTTGTCGTACGCCCCACCCTTACCTCTTTCCACTCCAGCCTATGATTTCTGATTCCGCACAACCCAATATCTAACTCATCCTGTGAAAAGCTACCCGGAGCCACCGAAACCGCCGCATCATTCCAATTCGACGGAGAGGGACACACCCTGGGCAATGCGCTACGATACGCGATCATGAAGAAGTGAGATCCACTTGATCCCACCCACCCATCCTGGATCTGTTCCTTGGTCTGGTCTTGAAGGGCTTTAGGCGCGGGAATGTAAATGGATGGAATCCCGCTAACATTTGTGAAAACCAGCCCCCAAGTTGAATTCTGCGGTTATACCATCCCCCACCCCTCAGAGACGAAGATGAACCTGAGAATTCAGACTTATGGTACGCAATTCTCTCCCCGAGCCTCTTGTTCCGGAGATCCAAGGGATTGGGCCAATTCGGCGTTATACTGCAATTGGGGAGAAGAAAACTAACCGATAGTTCAGATTCAACAACGGCCGTCGAGGCCCTGGAGAAGGGTCTGGATACCCTGATGGACCTGTGCGATGTCGTCACGGACAAGTTCACTGTTGCGCGCGATGAGTTCAATGCGTCCAAGGTGGATCGGATGGAGTTGTAGGTTCTCTTCGATTTGTTTTCTAGTGTTCTTTTTTTTCTTTCTTCTTTTGGTATCAGTTGGTCTTCATCCTGGCGTTGTATCTAGAGAAAAGTTTCGATTTCGGTTGTCATAACGACCCAACATTTTCTACATGATTGAGCCTTTTACTGTGTGTGTGCATTGAGCGGTGTGTTTTCTGGCTTGGACGGTACAGTACATAGCACCTAGTTTACCATGAGTGGGAGACGGGCGCTTGAGGTTAAGGGACTGCGTATAAGTTAGTATAGACGAGTCAATGTGGATTGAGCTTGCTGTCTATGTCGGTCATGCGGTATCTGGCCTGGACTCTATGTGGTAGTGCATGGTGCAGATGGTATGTAGCTTCTTGGCCGCCCTTCTTGATATACCTCTTCTCTCTCACGCTTGTACTTGTAGAAGTTGCCCGATTCAAAGTCAAGCATGTGGTAGGTGATATGGCATGCATGACTGAGCTCTACTACCCCCCTAGCTTTGATGAGTCTTTACGTCATGTGAAGAGCACCTCCACTGCTCAACCCGGACAAGCGACACACAGAACGACCCTACCCCTCGTGAGACACGAGTCCATTGCTCAATCTAACAACAACACCATATTTACATAGAGCGCATACTCATACCCTCTACCCGGATCTATCAGCTCACGGGTCTAAGCCCAGGGTTGTTCTCATAACTAGAAGGAATAAAAGTAGAAAAAACACTTTCAATGCTGCGGGATGATTTAAAGGGAAAAATGGAAACATGAAATTAATTGCGGCCTTCCAAGAAGCCGGAGATGAAGTTGGGGGGGAGGCGAGCACCGGGCTCCTCCTCCGGCCGGAAGTACTTCATCACGTGCGACAGCTGCTTCCAGTAGTTGAGGGTTTCCTGCCATGAAGACCAAGGTTAGTTGGTTTGGTTATTGGTGTATGTGAATGCGACGTGCCAGAGTCGTGGAGGTGGGGTATGTATTGCATGGAATTGATGAGCTATTCAAGCTCTCCGATTCAATTCTAACATGCCGCATAAACCCCGAACCTCCAACCCCAAACCCACATATCCTATCGCATTGACCACATAGAAAAGACAGCAAAGGCCAAACTCACCTGGAATTCGGCGTGGCTCTGGTACAACAGCACGTCGATCACATTCAATTGGCTGACGTAACGGTGCTTCTCGAACTCCTGGCGAATCTTCGTCCGGATAGCGGAAACGGGCATGTCCAAGGAGTACATAGTCTGGATCTCGGGGGACTAATCGAAGACACATCACATCATATAAATGGTCAGCTCGGGGGGGTTGATCTTGAGTATGTTCTCGTGGTGAAGTTGCTCGTCTCGCGTTCCCCCGCGGGGCTCTTCTGCGCGCCCTGGCGAAAGAGCTCCCTCCCTCCAGTCGACGGTGACAAGAGACGACGACGACAACAACAAAAACCAGCAATTGCGAAATGCATCAAATATTCCAAGAGTGTCGAAGACTAACCGCTCTAAGCCATTCTCTGTAGGACCGGATAACACGACGCTTCGCCTCGGCCAGGTTGGCAGCTATACACGGGTTTTTCAAGGTCAGCCTGTGAGTTCCGGCCATTGACGTCGCGCCAATTTCTAAGGGCGCCGGACCACCGGTGGATCGGAGGGGGGAGGAAGGGTGGTTTGTGGTTTGGTGAGATCACGTACAGGAGCGAGTGCGCTGAGCGAGGAACGTAGGGTTGATGGTCATCTTGACAATTGAGAATTGAGGCAATTGATGGGCACAGCCTTGAGGCTCCGAGGTTTGGCAAAGAGATAGAGGAGAGTGGGTAAGTTTCTCTGTTCTGCTCGGGACGGAATGCCTTGGGAGTTTAGCGTTGACGGGATTGGGAGGAGATCGAATGGGGGTCTGGTTCTGGAGGTTGCCGCCGTCTCCACCTCACCGCCTGCCTCTTTAAAAAAATTATTCTTTTTTCGCGGGCGCAAAGCTCGGGGGTCAGAGGGGATTGTTTTCTGATCTTCATTCATTTGGATCGCGTTGAAATTCTCCAAAGATCCGATCGTCCGTCTCTGTGTCAAGGAGATATACACAGAACGTTTCGAGGAACCTGTGCCTCTATTGTCTTTGTGGACTTGAAAGTTCCCATCGCCCGCATTTTTCCCTTTCGAATTTTCTACCCACCATCCGCATCAACACCTCGGTGTTCTTATATCTTCTTTTTCTTTTTTTTTTTTCCAGAAATAAGATCAAGACCACAAGATGGCCCCGACAAAGTCCTCGGCCAAGGGCAAGGGCCCTTCCTCGACCAAGGGAGACGCCAAGAGCAAGCCTCTTTCGTCCGGTACGAAAGTGAGCAAGAAGAACGTCAAGCGCCCGCCGCCCAAGGAAGTCAAGTCGAAAGCGCGCACGGAATCCAGCCTGCTGAAGAAGACGAAAAAGAGGGAATACACCGAGAAGGAGCTGGACCTGCCTCAGTTGAACATGATCACGCCCGTTGGTGTGGTGAAGCCCAGGGGCAAGAAGAAGGGCAAAACTTTCGTGGACGATGCGGTATGTGATTCTTAACCATACATAGGGATCTGTGATCGGATCGGAGGGAATGTAGACTGGACTTCTTTGCTGATCTTTGGTCGCTTCCTGCAGGAGGGAATGATGACGATTCTTGCCATGGTTAATGCCGACCGGGAGGGTCAGATCGAGTCGAAGCTGATGAAGGCCCGGCAATTGGAGGAGATCCGGGAGGCGAAGAGGAAGGAGGCTGAGGCCAGGCACGCGGAGAAGAAGAACAAGCTGGTACGTACCTTGCGATCGTGGTAGAGATGTGTTTGCATTTGGAAGTTACTAACAAAGGATGCGGGGAACAGGAAGAGGTAAAACAATCGATTCGCAGTAAGAAGCACAAGGGCGGCCCTAAAGCCGACAAAGCGGCCTCCGTACCCGACAAGTCGTCCAAATCGAAGGGCAAGAGAAAGAGCGTCGCATTTGCTTGATTTTGTTTCATTTTGTTTAAAAGTAATGCTGTCTATATCAGGTCTATGTATCTAGATGGGTCTCTGGCGTTTCAACGGTCTATATCCTGCCAAAACAATTGCATGCATTCATGATAAACACCCCCCGCCAACTTCTAATGTATACGGCGCTCCAGATCCGCTAGAAGTACTCGCACATGATGCGTCTCTAGGGTGAAGAGGGCACGATCTTGATATCTAGCTTGCGCCGCACAGGGCCGAAAAGCGGTTTAGGCGTCTTATCGCTGTCTTGCGCAGGTCGCACAATGTAAGGCGGTAGGCGATCGGGGTGCTCAACCTCGCCTGGAATGGTGTGATCCACTTCCTTGGCCATGATGTTAAGGAAATTGGACACCTTGAATAGTCAATAGGCTGGAACAACAAAAGTCAAGGCGAACAACGTACCGGCTTGACAAACCACCTGTCACCACCAAACTCGAACCAGCCGAGATGGCCTCCCCACGAGGTGGTCGCCATGACACCATACGGGGTTCTGGCGATTTCCCCATATGGCAGAGCCTTTGCGCAAGCAATCTACTCGGCTGTCAGCACATGAAAGCAGCTCGAACGTCAAGGGTGCAGCTTACCGGGTCATCTTCGGCCTGGATTACGAAGAAAGGAATCTTAATGCCAAGCATAGAGTCGATGGAAGAGGCATCCCGATAGTAAGCACCTTCGGTAGGGTAGCCCCATGCAGGGCATTGCAGCGCTCTAAAGTATGGCGTCAGCAATTGAAATGCAAGTCTGCCCAGGACAGTCCATTACCGGTCAAATTCGTGCAAATAAGTAACATTCCTGATTTCTTCGACGTTGACCAGTGGATTCAAGGCGACCGACTCCACATGTCTGGCATCGTTAGTTGGTGTAATAGCTGACAGACGAAATGGGGTCCCATCACTTACTGCTCGAAAAGCTTCTTCATGCTCGATCCCATCACCTTGCTGTATACCTGAAGTCCCAGCAAGCTGCTCTTCAAGTATTCCGAGCTGACCTCCAGATTCCAGGGGCTAGCACAAAGCACGGCTGCTTTCAATTGGCAGGCATCCCCCTCTTCACCCAGGTACTATGGCCAATGCATTAGTTGCTGATGCCAGAGAAATCACGTGTTCAGGACTCACGTTAGTGAGGATATTTGCGCCCAAAGAGAAGCCGATTCCGAAAAGGGGCCGATTCGGGAATGTCTTCCGTAGCCATTTGACAGCCTGACGGACATCCCACGTGGCGCGGGCATTGTAGAGTATGTTGGTGGTGATCTTGGTTTGCGAACAGCCCCGGGAGTTGATAACGCACGCTTCCCACGATTTGTCCTGGATCAGAGGCGCAACCACATGGCGCAGGTATACCTCATGTGATCCGCCGCTCAGGCCGTGCAGAACAACCAGCATCGGCTTGGTATCGTCCGATGGAAGCGCCGTGAATTCGTCCTCGGTAAAGAATGAGGTCCTCTCCGGTAGTCCCTCAGGCAGAGTATACTTTCTCTCTGGGTCAGAGGTCTGGTCATCCTTGGACGGCTCGTAGGGGTCTACGACGAAATCCACCGCAAAATGCCCATCGAACATCTGGTTGTCCGCCTCGAACATCCATCTCTTGTAGTAAACCGGAACGCTATCATACTTGACTGCAGTCCAGGCGGTCTGAAGGTGACCATTGAAGAGGAATGGATTGAGATCGCAGGTTGCTGGTGTGGCTGTGCGACAAAGATCTGCCAGCGCTACTTGCTCCTTGGCACCAGACTTGCCACTTTTCCGGGTCAAGATGAGGTTATTGTCTTTGGCGCTGTAGAAGGAGACCCGACCACGTGGGCGAGCCCAGGAAAGTAGGCCCATGGCTAGCAGACCCAAGAAAAGAAGAGGGATCGATAATGTGCTCAGGACGCTAATGGGAGAGATGTCAACAGGCGACATGACGGACGGTAGAAGGGGCTAGACTCCAAGGCACCGGCGAAACATGCGAAATGTAAACTGTAAACCACGGGGGAGGGGAAGTTGTTCGTTTACCCAAGCCTGAAAGATCGCTCTAAACTTGCAGTGATTGCACTTGCAAGTCCTGTATAATTGATAATTGCCAAAGTCTTCTCCAAGTCTTCTCCAAGTGAGGAAGTAGACTTTGCATTCCAGAGGCTGTCGTCACCTCACATGAATTTCTTCTTCTTTTTCTTCGAGAGCCTCGGCTTGATTGCCAAAAGGGGCAACATCACTAATCATTCATCTTATCAGTGGCCTTATCGTGCCGATCAGTCAGCGCAGTTGCTGACTCAATGGGTCTAACCCACTATGGTAAGTTACTCTGAGTGGAGATCATGAGGAAATGCAGGAAGACGTCATTTGGACAAACCCCCCCCCATCGGCCTCTTCTACTCTCAGTCGCATTGCTCATCATTTCCAGAGCTTTTCTGTCATCCCCCCAATCTCCCACCCCCATTCCCTGTGGACTGTGGGCTGTGCTACACTTCTCCTATTTCCAAAGACACAGCAGCATTCTCACCGGGCAGGGTGAGGGTTGCAGGTGGTTCGGCACTTTTAAGCTTCTCGATCCGGTAAGCCAGCCCCGGATGCGGAAGTTTAGTATAGAGTTCGGTGGAATAGCATCATAGACTCTCCGCGCCTGGTCGCAGTTGGGTGGCTTTCCACTCAGAAATTTACCATGATTTGGATTCGGAACTCCCTTCTGGTTCGATGCGGTTTTGGGTAGAGCTGCCCTCTTCTCCCTGCGCCGACAAAGGATCTTGTCGCATGGAAGCTTGATTGCTTCTCCCACTGTGACCCTGGCGCGTGCTCCGTTTGCGTGCGAATCGACAGCCTTGCGTGTGAACTACTTCAAGGTCAAGAGGCCCTCCTTCTTGTGTCTCTCTGGTTTTTGATTCCTTTCGTCATGTGGTCCGCTTGATACTATATCTTCTACTTCTCGTACATCATGATGCCCGTGAGCCAGCAGAAAACAGGCTCGCTCTTTCTTCACCGATGAGCTTTTGTAGGATTTCAACAGAGAATCAAACCAGAAGAAATAAGCGCCTCAGCTGGGAGCCATTCAACAAATCATTCCTGGCCGCGGCGATCCATGATTTAGGGCCCAGTGTCCCGATCGATATGGCATATAGCTTACGTCGCGCTGCCGAAAAACTGAAGATCATCGCCAAAATGAATCGGTGGACGCGGAGCCAACCCGCAGGAAAGGGTAGGGGTTTCGATTCTAGTGGGCGATGCTTCCTTCTCGAACTGCCAACCGAACTACTATTGGCGATCATTTCCCATCTATCGGTAATACCCGAGGCTTGTCTAGCGCTGACATGCAAGCGACTCTACGCGATATCCGGGGCGATCCTGGGAGCCAAAGCTCTCCACTTCAATCGCGACTTCGCACCACTTTTTCACCACTACCGAAATGGTCACAATTTCGTCACTCCACGGTGGCAATTTATCAATCTGCTGGAAGACGGCCGCTGGCGTGCCTGCTCGAAATGCCTAAAACTACATCTACGGAGCTCGTTCCCTCCACGTGAGCTGAGACGAAAGTCCGATGACCGAGCATGCAACTTGGGTAACTCGGCGGGCATCGTGGATCTATGCCCATGCAAGAAGCTCACTTTCCAGGACAAGACGGATCTCGTACAGCTTCTGAAGACTCGACAGAGATCAGTGGACGCCCTTACCCTGCAGTTCGGGAGCGGCATTCAGCAGCAGCGCTTTTGCTGGCACTCCTGCAAGGAAAACTATGGATCAACGCAACTTGAGATTGCGATATATCCTGAGCTGGACCAAGACAACTTGTTGAGGATACATACAGAGTATCATATGACAACAGGAACTGGCCAGCTTGGCAGAGAAGAACACATCACACCTCGCTTCGGATGTGCTCACCGATCAGTCGACTTGTGGTTATCCAGTGTCTGTCAAAGCACCATCTGTCGTCTCTATGACAGTCACTGTGCCTCGTGCAAGCGGATATCAATCTGCAACACCTGCAACGCCTCTTTGAGGTGTCCTCGCAAACAGCCCTGTCGGATAGATGAGGCGACTGACAAGGCCACCTACCATTTCTGGACCGAAAGGTGCCTTGGAGGCACTAGTCTGGTCCCCGATCAGGCATGGGCTTCTCAGCGGATTCACCCGGCGGAGAATTTGTTTGATGCTACCAATTGCAGTGAGATGTGTCCTTGGACTATTCGAGAACATCCTCCTCTGGAAGAAGCTCCGACTTTGGGGATGAACATACTTGAGCCTGCAATGCAAGACCAGTCGCTCAACCAGTTATACTCTTCAATCAACATGATATAGAAGATGGCGAATGCGCCTCAAGAATGAATGGCGCTGGGCGTGGTTCGGGGTATACTTGATGATGTGCACAGCCACTGTATGGTGTTGCAGGTGGTTTTTTTTGTGTCAAGGTCTGCGGGAGTTGGGTAGGAGGAACAGGGCTGCTATACTATATTACTATATATCTTCCTTTGGGCTGTCCGCGAACTTGTCCGCAGTTATTTGTTCATGTAAACAGCTGAATTTGAACAGACACTATTAACAATGTTGATGTATTTTAAGTCAAATTCCTCCAAGGGGTCGAATCGCTCCCTCCCTCACCTGACCTGCCTGACTGAGCGGACCGCGTGGGGAGGTTTATCCGAACCCGACGCGGAAACGGAAATGACCGCGCGATTGTTCAAGAAGACCAGGACCGAAAGCAGTGACCGCGCAAAAAGAATCCCCAACTTCCAGTTTTCTCAGCACAGCTTACTTTCAATCGGGACTACCAGAGCGCAGTGGATAAATGAGCATCTTCTGCGTCCTGGGGCGATGAGCTACCCACCACCCCACAACGGCCAATATCCTTCGCAATACATGCAACAACCCCCCAATCTCCCGCACCATCACCAGCAGACCATCCACCCGCAGCAGCTCCTTTACAATAACAATGTCAGCACGACTGCCTCGCCATATCAATATGGCAAACAAATTGTCTACCCTCAGGTTATGATCCCGGCCTATCCTACCTACACTCAACCCTACGCCCCGCAGCAACCACAGCAGCAACAACCACAGCAGCAGTCGCAACAGCAGCAGCAACCACAATATGTGAATCCGTCCGAACTGTTCCAACCCCCCCCTCTTCCGGCCACCTCACCTCCTCGATACTCTCACACCTCGTCCCAGTACAACGCGACACCCGCAGTCACTGCCGCTGGCAGCATACATTCCCCCATCCTTTCCACATCGACCCCTGCTCAGCCCGCGTACTATGCCGATCCAAGCCCCGACCAAGGGAATCAGGCCTCCTACAACGAGAATGCCCAAGCTACATCGAATCCACCAGTAGCCCCAGCACCATCTGTGTCAGCGCCATCTGTGTCGGCACCACCCATGTCAGCACCATCCGTGTCAGCACCACCTGTTCCAGCATCACCTGTAACCGCTGCACCCGTTGCTGCTACCCCCATCGCTGCTAAAGTGGCTGCGACTAAGTCCGTGTCCGCAAACCCATCGGCTCCATCCCCAAAGCCCGTCCAGGTGCTCATCCCCGCACCTTCACCAGATGTGCAGCAGAAGCTGCAGCGACAGTCCAAAAAACCGACTCCCAAACAAACACCGCAGCAGCCGATGAAATCCTCTACACAGAAGTCGGCCAAAACACCTGATCACCAGCTGTTGCTGTTGGCTATGGCGGATGAGTATCTCGACGCGGCTCACAGTCATGGGACCATGGTGGCCCTGCTAAGACGGGAGATTGACATGGAAGAGTACTATAAACTGGTTGCAACAGGCCTCGGATGCCTAGAGGCGGTATTAAAGGTATGAGATATAGCTTGAGTGAGATTTGTTCTCTATGGTCGTTAACCTGATTTAGAACTGGAGACTTCAACCTCGAGTTGAGGCTCTTGTGCGGTTACGGTATGCGCGGATCCTGTTCGAAGAAACAGACAATGATTTTGAGGCTGAGACAGCTTTGAGCAAAGGCGTATGTATTCATTCTCTGTACACCTTTATTGAGTGCCATGGCTAAGGTCTGTTCCAGATTGATTTGTGTGAGCGCGTAGGTAAATCCGAGCAGTTGATGAATGATCCAAGCTTACACCGGACTAGAACCGCATGTTAGATTTGAAGTATAGTATGCAGCACCTCTTGGCTCGGATGCTACACAAGACGAACCCGAAGGCCTCGATGAAAGCCGTGGATGGCATGATACAAGATGTCGAAGCGTGGGTCTTTGAATGGCGAACCTGAGAGAGATTCTTACTAACGTCAGCAGTTATCGCCATTCGGCCTGGGAATATGCCTTTCGCTTCCTTCGCGCATCGCTCTCACTCTCTTCTCACGCCCATCAAGATTCTGTCTCAGCACTACAACACCTCCATAAAATAGCCAACATGGCCCATCGCAATGGCGACAAGGCCGTTTCAGCTATGTCTGCAATAATAGAAGCCCTTGCACATCTGCAGCAAGGCACCGGGTCCGACGCGATCGAGCAGGCTCAACGCGCAGTGGCGGCAGCACGAAGCCATCAGCTGAACGATGACCTTCGTCACATTCCGCAGCTGACGACGCTGGTCCAGATTGTCGACATTTGCTGTAGTCTTCTGGACTACGACGTCAACCAATCGTCTCAGAAGCTGAAAGTCATGCAAGACATGATGGACGAGCGATTGAATGACTCAAATTGGCGTGATGACGGGTCCTTTTCCATCCCTCTGAGTGGCAAGTCGGCTGGTCCTTCTTCCATTGACACTGGGGACATTCTCCAGGTACAGGGCGGCATTCTATTGTTGAGCTTCAATTGGCTCCCGCAGCACGACCTGTATGCACTCTGCTATTTCCTCAGCTCCATCACTCTCAGCTGCAAGAACTCCTATGACGGACGCAAAGCGGAGAAGTTTCTCCAGGAGGGCATACGCATGGTAAAAGGTTAGTCGACTGCGATTTGTGATTCTCTTTCTTTCTTGACCTCACACTGACCCTGGTGCTTGCAGGAAGTTTCAAGGCGCCACAAGACATTACTGAGTCGGTGGTAAATGCAAACAGACGCGTCGAATGGCGCCGAACCCTCTACTGCAGTCTCCTCGTCCAACAAGTCTTCCTCGCTTGTGGTCGCACCGACTGGGATTTGGCCACGAAAACGTTACACGAATTGCGACAAGAAGCCCTAGGTCTCGGTGGCCAGCTTCCAGAGACCATCAAATGCATGATGGACTACGCGAGCGGCGCCATCGCTCAAGCGACAGGCGATCTGGATGCAGCCCTCCGGGCATTCCAGTCCCCAACCCTCTCTCTGCACTCCTCGTCCGCCACCACCAGCAAAGGCGCGCGCAACGACCCCCGCCGGGACCTTGCGATACTATCCGCGCTAAACACCGTCCTCATCCTCAGCGAACCATCTCATCCGTCCCATCACCAACTCCCCGCCATCCTAGCCACCGTCGAACCCTTTTGTACCTCTAGCCCCAGTAAATACATCCAGGCCGCCTATTATCTCGTCTGCGCCACCGTGCAGACTGAATCAACCATCCAAACCAAACAACACCTCCAACAAGCCCTACAATCAGCCACAGCCATCAGCAACAGCCAGATCACCTGCATGACCCTCACTTTTATGAGCTGGAAATACTTCCGCGGCGTCGTCGGCGAGCAGGCCGAGAAGAGCGCCCGGGCTGGTCGCGCCATGGCCCGAAAGGCCAACGACCGCCTGTGGGTCAGCGTCACCGACGAAATGCTCGCGGAGACGCTGGAGCGGCAAGGCAAGAACGAAGAAGCCTTGGGAGTGAGAGAGGAAGGTCATCGGGTGATGAACGGCTTACCGACGGCCTTACGGCGGGCTGTCTAATGGAGGTTAAAGTCTGGTTATATGTTAGTGTGTGTGTGTGTGATGTCTCATTCATTGTATTGTCCTGATATAGAGCGTCTTCTGTGTCCTTTCTCCTTTTCTAGGGGTTGGCTTGGGTTGGGTTTTCTGGCTGGGTGGATTTTCGTGCTACTGGGTTTCTTCTACGATCGCCCCCATATTTGGCGTGTATGCTCTCATAGTAAGTATTATTGTTTGCGATAAGATAGAGCCCCTTGCCCCCTCCCCTTTTGGGCTCGCTGTCATTAACTGGTACCCATTCTGGTTCTCTGTGTGCCGTGGGTGTTGGGATGACATATACTAGTAATTCATCAATGGGGAATGACCCTCCAAGTCGCAGTTCGAACTACTGCCACTACGAGTATTGATCACTTCCATACCCTCCGTGACGACACCAGACAGGCAAAGGATATGGCTAAAGGATGAACCGCAATGCTAGGACTAACCTTCGGTCCCACACCAGCCACTCAATACCTAGGAATGAAGCATGTCTAAATAAACAAAGTAGATTTGGATATTCTCAATTGTATTATGATACACATGCATATGCACATGCGCATGCGCAAGCGCAAGACGCGCATGAATGACAAAGAACATGTATGTAGCCCAGACATGTGCAGTAGTACTCCTGAAACCGCCTTTTCCTTTCTCACATAGATCATCTGGCCGTCTAGAGCTGCCTGAGTTGACTACTCAAAACCAGCTAGCCAGAACAGGAAGCACCGATCACTGCCCTGCCGCGCCAGACAAACAAGGGACACCATACAAAAAGGAAGGAAAACCATAGAAGCACACCCGCTATACCAGATCGTCGCCGTCGCATGTCGATGGCTGGCGGACATGGAAATCAAACCAATAGATAGATAGATAGATGGATAGATGGGGGAAATTTGGCATTTGTAAACTCCGTTCACCTTGGATTTTCTCCGTACGCCTGCGCGCAAGAAGCCCTATACACCCAGCTGAATAAGGAAAAGGAAAAGCGATGACGCAAAGCAACATAATCCGGACCCCTCGAGAGTTTTGATCGAATAGAAACAGGGATGCAAGTCGAGTCTCGGGAACAAAGAGAACGAACGGTAGGTGGAGTCGGAGGAGAAAAGTGAGATTTTCGAGCCGGGAACTTCCAGCATGGAAGGTTGGAGGGGTGGTGAGTGAAACGTCGAGAGCTCGAATTAAACAAAGACGGTTTCCAGGTTCGATGTGTTCCACGAAAGCCCGCTAACTTTGGCTCGACTGCTGCTGCATTCTGTTCTGATGCTCTCAGGTGGTCCTGAAAACGGGTTATAAGCTCTAACCAACCCTTGTTCGGCTAGAAGATGGAATAGCAAGAGACAACATCAAGGAAATGAGATCGGATGTTGTTTTTTTTCCTATTATTTCAAGCATGTTGAAAAGAGATCCCCGTCTAACCCAGACCACCCCAGACACCCCGGATGCGTCGCGCAAGCTGGATATCCTTCTGCATGATGGTCACGCGCTTGGCGTGGATGGCGCAGAGATTGGTGTCCTCGAAAAGATGGACCAGGAACGCCTCGGCGGCTTCCTGGAGGGCCAAGATCGCATGCGATTGCCAGCGCAGCTCGGAGCCGACTTCGGCGGGGAGAAGGTCCAGGGCGACCTCGCGGACCAGTCGCGCGAATGGCAGCTTTCTGATGAGCAGGTCGAATGAGCGTTGGTAATGGCGGATTTCCTTCAGGGCAACCGTTCCAGGTTTGTACCGGCGACGACGACCTGTGGGGGTGGGATCGCCCGCTATAGGATCCCGTTAGATGCTTGGTTTTGGTGACTGTCGAGGAAGAGGGCAAACGTACGTTCAACATTAGATGTCCTGGGCGCTTTAGCCGGCCGCTTGCCTTTGGTGACACCCGCGGGTTTGCGCCCGCGAGCGGCGGGGGATTTAGTCGCAGCTGGGGCAGTCGATGGGCCAGCAGCAGCGGCGGCGGCACCATCATCAGCAGCAGCAGCAGCAGTAGCAGCACCAGCGGGGGCAGCCGTTGATTTCCGTGGCCCAGCATTTGACTTGCGACCGCGCCCTGTCTTAGGAGGCATGTTGAAATCTGTGTTTATTCGGTATACTCGGGGGTGAAGAACAAATTGGTCGTCAATGTGAGGAATTTTGCACGAGTCCCTCCTGCTGCAGCTTGCAGATGGTCAACCACTGGGGTTTGACCGTGAGCCTCCGAGTTCGAGTCTTCTCGTGCGAGGGCAAGCTAGAGAGGAGCGGAAGGGGAGACAAGTTCTCGAGCCAAGAATGTTGTTATTTTTGTTGCACCGTTTGTTTGGATTTTTAGCTTTGGTCCGTCACGAACCGCTGGGACAGCTTTGCTTGGTAGACTTTGCAGTCTTTTGTTGCAATTCCAAGTTGGGGCGGATGGATGGGCTCAGTTCAATTACTGTATGTATGGAAGGGAGTGCATGCAATCGGATAAAGGTGGGATTTGGAGATCCCAGCCACCTGCATTTCCGTGACGCGTGGGGGACCGCGTTTCCCTTTCGGCTTCAAGCGCGCGCGTGTGAGTGCATAGCTTACTAAGTCAGGTCAGGTCATCCAGACATAAGCTTATAGCTTACTAAGTAGCTACTGTTTTGCCTCAGGCAAAAAGGCCAGCTAGCTAGTAGTGAGTATCAAGCACAGCTCCCAATCTTATCAGTTCAAGTTAAGTTGCCTACATCACCATCGATCCATCCTATCCCATTCCTTTACTTTCTCTTCCACCCCCCCCCCTTCTTCATCCCGTGCCAATTTCTACTCCGGTCAATTGCTACTCTTATCTTACCTACATCCACTTAGAGAAGAGATAGAGCAATCTCAATCTCGCTAATCCATTCCGCCTTCCACTCCAAAACACAATGGCCGCCATCTGGGGTAACGGCGGGCAGGCTGGCCAGTTCCCGCTTGAACAATGGTTCTATGAAATGCCTCCCGTGACACGCTGGTGGACAGCTGCCACCGTCGTCACGTCGGTATTGGTCCAGTGCCATGTCCTCACTCCCTTTCAGCTATTCTACAGCTTTCGCGCCGTATATGTAAAGTCTCAGGTATGTTGCGCGCGGTCCGGAGCAAAGGCAGGCGCCCGCTGCCGGCCGTTTAGTGATAGTGATAGTGACGACGCCCAAGCTAACCGTGATGTGCAGTACTGGCGCTTGCTGACCACTTTTCTCTACTTTGGACCATTGAACCTCGATCTACTGTTCCATGTCTTCTTCTTGCAGCGGTACTCGCGCCTCTTGGAAGAGTCGTCGGGTCGGTCGCCAGCCCATTTCTCCTGGCTGCTGTTCTACGCCATGGCCTCTCTTCTTTTGCTTTCGCCATTTCTCTCGCTGCCTTTCCTCGGAAGCGCCCTCTCGTCGAGTCTGGTTTACATCTGGAGCCGTCGCAACCCGGACACTCGCCTGAGCTTCCTCGGGATGTTGGTGTTCTCGGCGCCCTATCTCCCCTGGGTGCTGATGGCGTTCAGTCTGGTCGTCCACGGGATTGTGCCCAAGGACGAAATCTGCGGTGTCGTGGTTGGACATGTCTGGTACTTCTTTAATGATGTCTACCCATCGCTGCATGGTGGCCATCGGCCTTTCGATCCCCCAGCCTGGTGGGTCCGGCTGTTTGAGCCCGCGACTGGCGATGCGAATGGTGGTCTCGCTGCCACTGCTGGCGCCGCACCTGAGATTCGATGAGCGGTTGTCGAAGGCTGAGACTTGCAAGTGGAATGCATGCTGGGGAAAATCGCAGACCGAGACCTATTACCTGTGAAGCACACGAGCCTCTTTCCAAACCAGAAATTTCTCGGTTGAAGACCGCGACGTGCAGGGGGACATGCGCACTTGAAAGTACAGAATCCACAGCACATTTCGATAATGGCAGCATCTCTGCATGTTGGGGCGCTCCCTCAGATGCGTCTGGAGGTCATTTGATATGGTGGTGCAAGGGCTATTTGCGCCACCATCGCTTTCTCGTTCGACTAGCCGGAGGTGTTATGCAGCCTGTCGCATTGTCGAAGCGTCGCACGTGGGCGCAAGCATCAGACTTATTTGCTGGCTGGGTCGAGCGAAAGATGTGGTCTTCTAAAAGGGGAATGGAAAGTTTTGAACCGAAGATGCCCGGTGGATATTCCGTGACCTAGGCGTCTGTCGGAGGACTTTGTGACTTTGTTTCTTCTGCACGTTGAGCTCTTTAGCGAGTTACATTGGATATACCCCTGTTGTAATGCACATATTGATCATGTTGTGATATGATTTCGGAAAGAAGCGAACTCAGATAGAACCTCCAGCAAATAAGGAGGGGGGAGGGTAAATGATACTACTACTGTATGTGCATGACAGGGTCAGAACCTGAACGGCCTGGCCTGCCCACGTGTACTGTAGATCCCCCAATGCCGGGGGTTAGAAAATCTCCGCATGACCGGGGAGGAGCCTGAGCGATGGTAGTGGGCTTAACCGCCGACGAGTCGACGACTTGCGATGTACACAGTGGTAAAGTCAGTCGACTCTGCAGCTGCGCTTGGATCTCTCCCCTCCTATCGCATCTTCCATCCACGTGCCACCACACTGGTCTCTACACCTACACCATGGGCCTTTCACGAGAATCCGTCAGGGTTCCTGGCAACGTAGCCAGCCTTCTTCCTTGGCCCACGTAGTGATCATCCTTCGCTACCTTGTTGATGCTCCAGCCACCCTTGCACTGGTTGGTCCGTCACGACGGTATAGCATCGAAATTTCAGAAGGGGCGTCCGGGTTTCCCACGGCGACAACCGGGGGAGCAATTTAATTATGTAGTGGGGTGGGTTTCGATGATGATATTGTCATTTGTGGCCAGACACGAATGCGGGGTTGTTGAGAGAGGCCGACGACGTTAAGTACTGGGCTGTATAACTACTTGTAGTACTTAGTTAACTACCATGTGAAGTCCCTCCTCCTGCCTCAGGCAGAGGTTTATTGTCCAGAGATGAGAATTGAGTTAATCGTGTACAGTACTAGGTACTGTACATTATTATGAGGGGGAGGGAGGATTATCGGGAAATCAAACTGCGATGTGCGTGCGAGGTTCCGAAACTACTCGTAGAGTAGGAGGATTGATCGTCGCTGCTTCTTGTGCAAGGGGCAGGGTCCAGGGAGGAGGGACCTTCCGTGTATCTATCTGTCTCCCAGAAAGAGACTAAGTTAAGGAGATGGATGTTTCATTTCTGTTGCATATGAAGCCAAGATTTCGAATCTCGGAGGCGAGGCCTGGATCGTGTCCATGTGTCCTGTACAGTACTGTACTGTGTAGGAACACCTTGGCATTCCTGCTCAGGCAGGGTACGAGTACGAAGGTACAGTCTTGGACTCTTGGCCACAAATGCGGTCGGCCAGAGAGAATCCACCGCCCGGCGACCGGAGAAAATGTCCTTGGAAGTTGGAAGGGAAAAGGTGAAACAAGCCCCCCGGTAATAGCTGGTCTAGCACAACATCCACCACGGCACCATCTGCTTGTCCACGCGTCTGACAGTCTAATCGGCGAGTAGGACGAAAGGATCTGACTTAAAGCATGGAACCTTGACAAGCCGTGGGTCGACGGGGAAGCCATTGAAGGAAGAGTGGGCCGGGGCGGTTTCGTTTGGTTTTCTCGGTCGGTGTTTGGAAATGGTTTTGTCGAGGGTCGTCGAGCAGGAGAACCGAGGTTGGTTCAAATCTGGGGATAACTCTTTTTCCTCTCTTGACGAGTAGATTTTGTCCCCCCCTAGTGGCAAAATGATCAGGTGTCACTATCTTCCAGAGGTCGTATCTATGAGTGGAGGGTCAGCTGCTAACACGGATACATACATCCTTCTGTACTATGGTACTCGATAAATTTGATGCCCATTCGACTCGACTCGACTCGACTCTCGACTAGTCTCTCGAATTGATTCCCAAATCTCCATCTGTCAAATCTCACGCACAGGTTTGTGGAGCCCGGAGGCAGCAGTTCACTAGTCGGAGTCCCACCCATTCCAGAATCCAGAGAGTCGGTCGGCGAGTCGGCGGGAAAGTCGCCCGGTCGCCGGGCATCGTACTCGTAAATGCATAACCGTTCCGACGGAGTTTGGTTCGGTTGTTGGCTGGCCTTGGAATACTTAACGAGGCTCAGCTTGTGATGAACGGTCGTGCACAGAGACGATGATGTAGTGCCACACATTCATTGTGGCTGGGAATCCTGGAACCAGGACTCTCCGTACTCCGTACTCTGTGCTGTGGCAAGCAACCGTCGACCTTGGAATCGGCTGGCCTGGTTTTCCTTCTGCCTAAAGGGTCCTGCTGCTGCTGCTGCTGTTGTTGTTGTTTATGCCCCGCTTCTTATCTTCGATTCCTCTCACTTGTTGCGATGTCACCATGTGATAGGATCCGTGCTGGTGTACTATCTATATTACTCAAAGCTAACTTCAAAGGAACTAGCATTTACAGATTCGATGTGGTGTTGCCAAAAGACTAAATCTAGCCTTTTCATTACACTACATCGAATTTAAGCACACTGCGGCGAGCAAGCTTCCCTGTTATATAGGGGTGCTGTGGATTACAGGCCCCATACGGAGTACACATGCCCTGTTTGCACGCATTAAACAACTGACTCACTTATACAGCACAGTTCATACATTCTACACTGGCCGGCCTCGCCGACTTGGGCTAGGCAGCCATCGAGCTGGTTTCCATCTATCTCTCAACAATGAACACTTGTCATGTCTATGGACGAAATCTGGCCAATCACATCTATGGAGGTCCTCAGATGACAGTGGCTGTAATTTACACTTTGCCGGTGAATTAAATTGTGGCTAATCAAGCTTTATAGCCAGTAAAATCCTTGCAGCATAGTATACTGGTAGTATGCTTCCCCATATCCAAGCCACTGAGTACAGCTGGGCCCCCGCGATGTATGCCCGAGATGGCAGTTGCGAGTAATCGGCATAGATAAAAGGGGCGGTTACTCGCGCGGGTGGTAGTTCCTGTCGAGGATCTTGTCATCACAAGGTACTTGTCGCATGCACACTGATCGGGGTCGGAGGAAGTGAAGCTGTCTGGACTTGCATGAATACAGTATGAGACACCGGCCAATCGCATTGGAAAGGTAAATTGGTTCTATCTGTCGGCTTTCTTTATGCAGCAGGCCTGCATGCGCAACCCGGGCATTGGGGGTGTTTTACCTCCGTTCCAAACTTAGATCCTTGGAAGCATGCTCCGGGGCAATGAGCATTGAGAAATTCGAGATCAAACTGCATTCCCGCATGCTGACCTGACACACGCACAGCTTTGGACTGAAATCTGCCAAGTAAGGAACTCGTCAGGGATTGAGAAGTTAAGACAAGACCGAAAGGTCGTGATCTTAGTCAGCGGGAAATTGGCTTGACTGCCAAACACCTCCCTACGAAGCTCTCCGGACTATTGACAAACATTCGAAGGTGGTTGCAATAAAAATGAACAGAATTGAGATCGAATCATCAATAGACTAGACTAGCTCTTGGCTTAGGGCTTCCTCAATCTGTACTAACTATTGCTCACCCAAACTCTCCGACTTGCGGGTACTGTACAAGGTATAGACATGATCAGATCATTCGGTTTCCTCCCCAACAATAATTCAACAATTGACGCTCGAGCAGGGGATACCTATGATTTCCCGCTAATATCACCTCCTAGTGTCAATCATGATTTTACGAGGATTGGCTACTGCGCGGCTCATTTCAATGCCCGGTCAATGCCCGGGAAACACTTATCTTTCAATCCCATGGGCATTTCGTGTGTTTTGGGGAGGATGTTTGCACCTTTCGAGGTCTGCGTAATAATTGTCGGTCCTCGGATGGATTTGGCGGAGCCACAGTTAATCTTAACTTTCATTGAGTCGCCCGGGGCCGAAGTTCGCTCTAAGCTAGCAATTCGACTACTGTAGTCTACTGTACCCAAACGGAAGAGTTTTCTCCCTCTTCCCTCTTCCCTCTTCCAAGTTCGTTCTTCTGGGGGTGGTTTGCCAACGCCGCGGTGGGATATCATTTGGCCGAGCCGTGATGGCTCAGGGCTGTGCTTTTTGAGGCCCATTTCCGCGGCACCAATCAACAAGTGGATATCTGGCACCACGCTTTTCCACCACCGCGAGGCTGGAAATGATTAGCGCACTGGACTAAACTCAACTCTCGAACGTTATTCAACGTGTTGACTTTTTGAGGAATCAGAATGAGCGAGTTTTCTTCGAGGATCGGTCTGTACAGCCACCTGCCAAGTGGCAACGCGTCTTGTTCGCCTCAAGTCAAGGAATGAGCCTCCTGACTTCGAGTGATTGGTCGTTTGGGGGAAGTGACAACTTGACGCACAACCGTCATGTCTGTACCTAGTAGGCAGTGCAATAATGTAAGTTACGGAGTAGGCGATGATGTAGGTATGTATGTAAGTAAGTATGCAGCAGCTCAAGCAGGCGCCCAGCGGCAAAGCAGCAGACGGGATTCAGCATTGCCCCGAGGACCCAGAAACTTCCCACTAAACGAGTACCGAGTAGAGTTGCCTCTCAAGTCTAATCCTAATTTAGTAGAAGAGGAACCCGACTTCGCTGAAAATGATTTAGTGGCGGAGGCTTAGCACTGGCAGCAACGCAAACCTTTCCCCATACAACAGGCGGTGGAAAAGGAAAAAAAGGATTCTATGATGGGTCCAAGATCCACTGTTGTCCACTCTCAGTCTCTCTTCCTTTTTCCCCCACTGTTAGCCCCCCCTCCCCTCCTCCCCTTTCACACACCCATTCATCCATCCCCTGGTTTGAGTGACGGATGTCTGTTTGGACTTTGGACCTCCCTCCCCCTTCTCCAGTGAGACCCAGTTAAACCATGGGCCGTTGTTGACGCTTCGCGCGCGCTCTCTCTCTCTCTCTCTCTCTCTCTCTCTCTCTCTCTTCCGCTCGCTTTCTCCGTCTTCTCCTCAACAACCTCCGTTTCTACCCCCCCCCCCCAAAGGATCCCTTCTCTCTTAACTAGTCAATCCATTGTCTGTTTCCCGCCACACTCTCTACTTTAAATATTATTTCTTACTGCTTTGTTGCTAAGGCACCGTCCGTTCCTTTGGCTCGCCTAGCTTTCTTTTCGCCCTCTGCCTATCACATACATAGTCCTTCTTTTTTGTCCCAGTTGATGGACTAGTAAATTACGCACTCCTTTCTTATTATTTGTCCACCTGGTTAAATCGATCCCCTCCCTCCATACCTATTCAATCAATTCCTTCTCTTGCCTCCTCTTTTCCTTTTTTCCCCAAATAAATTTACCCCCCCCCCCCACGCTCCCCAATCCCAGCGTCTTTACTGGGGGCTTGGTTCACTACGGGAACCTAATAATAATCACCACTTTATCTATCACCACCTGCCATCCCCGTGGTCACTGCTCTATTATCTTTCCTTTCTTCACTCCTACGCCAGTCCTTGCCTTGTTTAGTTACCCGTGTGAGCATTTATCCTTTCAACCATCAGACCGGTCTCCATTTAGGGTTACTCTAAAAGGAAAAGGGGGAAACGTTACCAGGAAATCTCACGGCCGCCATTCCTTAATTCGACCTCCCTTCAACCTCAACACTTTTTTCTCTCTCTCTCTCCCCTCCATTGCCATTGCATTGCCATTGCATTTACTCGATTTGACCTCGACGTCCATGTTGTCTGGTTTTCGAGGACAATAAGGTTTTTCGTCTATCTCCGCACTGCGTTGCTTTCTCCGCCGCCGTGTTTACTCTGCGGGGAAATCTATCTGGCTGTGGTGTAGTCTGGCTATATCGGTCTCGCGGCCCTTTCGTTCCTTCCCGCCGCGGTCAACACGACGTCACGACACACTGGACTTGCATCAATTGATACTGCATCCTTGCAGCGCTTCTCGGTTTCGACAATTGTTCCCAATTCACCTTAACAGGAGGCGTCCTTCAGACCCCCTACTCCCTCTTTCATCATGCGGCGCGGTGTCTTGATCTTCCTCCTCGTCAACCTCCTCATAGTCACCTTTCTGGTGCGCAGTGTCTTCACGCTTCTGTCGCTACTCGTGGAAGATGCTTCCGCCGACGCCATTCATCGTGCCGAGCTCCCCTCGCCGAATTCCAGTTTGATCGAACAACGGCCGCAAATCATCCCGAAAATCATTCACCAGACCTACAAGAACGAGACGATCCCCGAGGTGTGGAGAGAAGCTCAGCAGAGCTGCATTGACCTGCACCCTGACTACGAGTACATTGTATGTCACCTGCCATTGACGAAGATTTAAGCCTAAGACTAACACAAGTTTGCTCGAAACAGCTGTGGACGAACGAGAAGTCGCGCGAGTTTATCGCCAACGAATACCCCTGGTTCCTCGAGACCTTTGATGGCTACAAGTACCCGATTCAGCGGGCAGACTCGATTAGATACTTTGTTCTGGCCCACTACGGTGGCACCTACATTGACCTTGACGATGTGCGTATGATTTCCTGTCGCTGGAGACCCTGTTATTGACCGATTCGCAGGGATGCAATCGTCGCCTTGATCCTCTTCTCGCATACCCTGCTTGGGTGCGCCGCACGGTTCCCACCGGTATTTCCAATGACGCTATGGGCTCTGTCCCACAGCATCCCTTCTTCTTGCGCGTGATCGAGCTATTGCAGTCTTATGATCGCCATTGGCTTCTGCCGTATATCACCGTGATGTACTCCACCGGCCCACTCTTCCTCTCGGTGATTTGGAAGGAATACATGCAAACCTCTCCGAGCGAGTCGGCACGTGTGCGCATCTTGATGAAGGACGAGTACAACAAGCACTCATGGAGTTTCTTCACTCACCATGTGGGTAACAGCTGGCATGGCAAAGATGCCCGTCTGATCTTCTGGATGGGCCAGCACTGGATGTTCCTCACCGTTCTCGGTTTCATTCTGGCTGCCGTGGTCGGGTTCGCCCTCTGGTGGCTCTACGTTCGGGTTATGGTGCTTGGTTCGAAGTACCGCTACCGTTATGCAAAGATCCCTTCTTTCGTGACGGGCTCTCGGTTACCCTCTCCGACGAGAATGTCGCGTCGTATGATGCCCACTCTTCTTCGTCGGGTCAGCTTCAAGGAAGACGAGGAAGCGAACGGTGTTACGGAAACTTCCTATGAACTCTACAGTCGTCGTGATTAATTGCTTCGACTGACAACGCGTACCTTTTCAGTCTTTCCGCGTTGGGACTTGATGACATCCTACTTTTCCTCTACCATTTTAATGTCTCCCGATTTCGTCGGGAATTTCCGTCCAGTTTCTGAAGTGCATGTACGGAGTTCGGGAGGGGGACATGGGGTTTGGCCGAGATGCTTTCCAAGCATTGGGTTCCTTGTACATGTTTTTGGCAAGATACTTTGATCTATGCGCGGGCGTTCTGCAAGGCAGCGCACGTGTGTTGTATCTGGCTTTCTTTCTTGGATGTCTTACACCTTTTTTCTTTCTTTGCCTTCGATTCTTCACTGTCTGTTTACCCTTTTACATCTTTTACTCCTTTCCTACCCCACCCATAGACTTGCGATTGATTTTGGGTAGAGAGTTGTTTGAAATTCCAGTCACAGATGCCTGGTGCTGCTGGGACCGCTGAATGAAACCCTGTGGTGGCTTGCCACCTTACTATGAAGATCTGCATATTCTAGCATCGCCCGAGTAAATTTAGAGGTTATATGTGCGGTACTTAAGAGTGAATCAGTTCATTTAGTTGGGTACATTCGAGGGTTGAGATCAGTCACGGACCGGTGAAACACTTGGCCATTCAGCATGGACCAATGAGGGTGGCGCAGGGCGGAATAAGCGCACTGCCGACTGAAAACAATTTATAGACGGAGGAAGGTTCCCACTTGATCTCACTTCGCCTCAGGGTCGACTCCAATCATGAGGTGCAAGATGGGAGTGGATGTTGAAGGATGACACACAGCCGCACAGGGTGTTGGGCTGAAGTGATCTTCAGGGCGTGGTTGGCGGGGAAGATTGACAGAGTACGAGGGTCTGCTCCACATATTTCTGAGGGGTCTTCATCCTGAAGGAATGTCAATCATGGCCAGGCATACTCTGAGTCTGGGCGCTCGAGGGAGGTGACATAGGCAGATTTCTGAGAGATTCTTAAGCCCCTTGATTTTCCTGTTTGTCTGTTGAGAATTGATTCTCTATTGATATCCATTCGTACTTGATAGTGATTTGGAGTTCCGTTGTATACATACTGTACACATACTACCCACCCATTACCCTAACCCTACTTTCTTGGTTGCGTTTACGCTACATACACACCTCCATCCAAACCATCCACGATGAAGACCTTTTCCCTCACCAGCATCCTTCTCCTCTCCCCCCTCTTGATTCACGCCGCCCCCACGGGCCAGGGTCAGCTGTGCACTCGGGATTCAACGGCAATCACCAGCGAGCAGATCCAAACCATTGCCCCCACGTCCAACACCTGCGCCAACGCCCCGGCCGTCGGCGAGTGTGCGACCTCCGACACGGCAGCCTCCAGCATCTCTAAATCCTTCCAAACCTACGGGGTGACCAACAAAGCCGAGCAGGCCGCGGTGATCGGCCTGATGGCGTTCGAGAGTGGGGATTTCAAGTACAACAAGAATCATTACCCGGGTGTGGCGGGCCAGGGCAGTAAGTGCTTCCAGCTCTTTTTGGGGGGGGGGGCTAGTTTTTCTCAGCTCACTCCCTTAATCCGCGTTCTCCCCCACCCTTTTTGAATGGGTTTGTTTTGTTTTGTAAGGAGAGAGAATATATATATTGATGAACGTCATACGTATAGCTCGAAACATGCAGTCACCCGCCTTCAACGCCAAGTACGCGGCGTCGATCCCCGCCCTCGCCGACTCGCTCAAGGCCGTCAATGGGGATGCAGCGGGCACGTTGGATCTGCTGCGTGCGGTCCCGGAGTATGACTTTGGGTCCGGCGCGTGGTTCCTCACCACCCAGTGTACTTCCAGTGTGCGTGGCCAGCTGCAGCAGGGCACTCAGGCGGGCTGGGAGGCGTTCATTACCGGCTGCGTGGGGACGGCTGCTAATGATGATCGGAAGGCTTATTGGAGTCGGGCTGTTGAGGCTCTGGGGGTCTGAGGTGAGGGTCTTAGGGGTCAGGGGAGAAGGGGGTGTTCTTTCTGAGGAGG